AAGCAGTGAGAGACTTGACATGGAATATTAGGGCCTTGATAACTTACCTGCAAAATTTTTCTAAATTTGTAAACTAGTGTAATTAGTCAGTGAAATTTTCGTTCCCTCACCGCTAACCAGATAGTGATAGTGAATATTATATTTTACTATCACTATGTAGTGCTAGCGAAGTTTGAAATGCACCACCACTAAAGCCCTAGTGGCAGTAAAAATTTCGATTTGGTGCAACTTGTGTAGGTACAAAATGGTGGGCGTTGAATGATAAAGCCATAGGCAAGTATATAGACAAAAACAAAGATTTTGATAATTATAAGGATAACGACATAGATAAAGACAAAGACGAAGGTAAAACCATAGTCAAAAGCAAATATAAAAATATAGAAACGGATTTAGGTTGAGATCAATGACATTATGAAGGTCAAAGAAAAAGAAGATGAACGTGAAAATTACGACAGTGGTGAGGATTAAAGTGAAGTTGATGATAGAGATGGAGATGAAGAAGTTGAAGATGAAGATGTAAATGAAAATGATGAAGAAAAGAAGATAAAGGTAAATATGAATGTGAAGGTGAAAATAGAGATGAAGATGAAGATGGAGATGAAGATGACGAAGTTGGTGATGGAGTTCAGAAAAATGTAGATGTAGAGGATCAAGAGGACGAAGAAGGTGAAGGCGAAGATGAGAAAGAAGTTTCACTTCTTCTGCGCATAGGGACTACATGCACTTTATTTTTTAAGAACAATCTACTGACGTTTGGCTGCAAATGTGGGAAGCTTCTATTTAAAACTTGAATGTGTATGGATGTATGTCTGAACATGTCCGTATGTTTATTTCTATTATTCAGCGCGCCAATAATTTCATAGAGGAAGCTTTCCTCTAATTCAAACTGTTTTCTAGCACAAACATACAAAAGATGCACCAAAAGTTAATTCGCTCCTGACGGAGTATAGTTTGTTAATAAAGCCATTCTACTATCATGCAATTATTGAAGCCAATTCAGTTGCCAACAAATAAAAGCCATCACAATACCATTTCAAAAAGTTTCCTCTGCACATTCCCGAATGAGTTTTACCAATTCAAATGCTATGGACCAATATAGCCAACAAGTGTATAAATAAATGAAAATGCCAACAAAAGTTGCACAACAAAATGTATACATCAGTGAACAATTAGAATACTTGATAAAATTTCAAAATACAAAATTGAAGGAAGAGCAAATGCCTTGAGGACTTGTCTGCATGAGCTGCAAGAGGAGACAAGATGATGGTGACAACCGGTGTGAAGCAGAAAGCCCGCTCTACATTAAGTTGAGTAAAAGTGTGGCTAGGTATGTAGGTTCGCGAAGAGCTGAGTGGGTGTGAGCAGTTAATATTCTAAAAAAGAAAAAAAATAGTAAAGCAAGGCAAGCAAGCCAATTTTAATTTGGCCACGGCAACAAAATGGCTGCAAAAGCTCAGCCTCAGCGGCTATAAATGCGGCCTTACGCAATAGAATGCTATAAATACTCAGATTAAATGCCGCCGCACAATACGCCGCTCACTTATTATATTTATGTAGGTAGGTGCCACTGTATATTCATTTGATTCGCTTGCCGCTACTTTGAGCCGTCTCCTGGTGCCAACCGCTCGCCTGGGGCACTAATAAAGACGAAGAAGATTAAGACGAATATAACAAAAAAAAAAAAGATAGACGATTGTGAAAGGTGAAATTATTAACTTGGCAGCTGGTTCAAAAAAAGGCCAACTATGGCAATTCATGGCAATGCAAAAGCAAAAAGCAACACTACAAACTGTAACGGAAATGGCATTTCCGCTGGCTAAGTTTGCTGAGCGATGCGGCAAACAGCCAAACAGCAATGCAGCCAACAGGAAATGCAATCTTTTGTGCGTGTGTGTGTTTGTGTGTGTTTGTGTGCACGTTTGCTGGCAATAAATGCAAACTATTCATCTTGTATCGAAGATGAAACAGTCTCGGTGCTCTCAAATAAAGGTTGGAGCATTTTCATTCAATGGCCGTAATTACTTCTTTGCGTTCCACTTAGTTTTGATGATGCGCCACGAAGCGAGCGAACGGGGCTAACAATGCCACAAGTAGTGTGCCGGGTGTGGCACTCTCGATTATGATGATGATCATAATGGTGGCAATCAGCATGGTGATGATGATGATGATGATGATGGCACTGCTGCTGTGGGAAACCAGCGCTACAGTGGCAACAAGGAGGGGGCGGCTAGGAGCAGGCAAGCAGGGAAGCCCGGAAAATTTGGCAGGTGAAGAATTACGAATTTTAAAAGTTGCATCAACTTGTAAGTTACTGAACTTGCTGCTGCAACGTGCAACACACACACACAACAGTAGTGTGGCAATACAATAGCAGAACACAGACCAACAGCAACGGTAACGAACGACATGCACAACTGGCGGCACGTTGCGTGTGGGCGTGTGGGTGTGTGTGCGGCGTGTGGGTGGTTGACTGAGCAGGAAATTGCAATTATTGCCAAGACTTGCGAAGAGATTAAAAGTAGACAAGCAACAGTAACAGCAGCAACAACAACAAGCATCGGTTAAATGTGGCAGCAGGCGCCCTTGTAGCAGGAGCAGCAACAAGAGTTCGCTGTCGACCGACCAACAGCTGCTCCTGCTTCTGCTGCTGCTACCTGCCAAAAGCGATGTTGAAAATAAAAAGTAAAATGTTGCTTCTTTTGTTTTGTTGTTTTTTATTTTTCCATCTCTTCTGCTTCCGTTCGCCTGCTGTTCACTTGCTCTTGCCAGATTTCTTGCGGCAATCAGTGCGGAAAGTTTTCGCGCTTCTTAATTTTTTCTTCGCTTTTGCGTTTTTTGTTATTCCTTATTGTTGTTGCGCCATTTTCTGATCTTGCCATGCCTTTTTTTGCTTCGGTGTTTTCCTTTACAACATTTCACTACTTTTTCTGTAGCGTTTATTGTTGTTGTTTTCTCCTGTACATAAATTAAAAATATTTCACAGCATCAACAACAACAACATTGCTGGCATTTTTTCGTTGCACTTTTTTCGTAGCGGCTTGCGTTTATTTGGCGATTGCAGTTTTTCATTTTAATTTTCATTTATGTAAATGAAATTTGCTGGGCCTGGCAGGACTTTTGTTGTTCGCTGTTTTTTTTGTTGGTAGCTACAACGCAAATGTTTTATTAATTTGGCGGATGTTTATTGCTGGGCAGGCAATGTTTGATTTTTGAATGCAATAAATGGTGGACAAATGGTTGTGAGAAATTTTAAATTATTCTTTTACAATGGAAATTTGTTAAGCGCTTATGCTAGGCAATATGTTATATAACTATGAAAATTAAAAAATATGATTATTAAAAAAAAAAAAATATTTTTAAAATTCGGTGGAATTTATGATAACAATAAAGGTATCATAGAAAAGAAAAAATTCTGTAGATTTACAACAGAATAAATTTTTCGGTACATAAGGACGAATGGGTATGGAAAATGTCCTTTACAAATTTTCTCCTTAAATATCCTTGAAAATTTGCAATATTTTTTTTTTAATCCTTTCCTTTTAACAGGTCTACAGCGTATACAGTAGAGTATCCATTGCTGCGAAGGAGTAATGTTGTAAAGAGTAGCGCAGCTGTTGTTGTGTTGATTTCTAGCTGAGGCTTGCCCATCAGACCGCTATCACACCAGTACTCACCGTAGTGTATCTTGGGGTAAATACCTCTTACCAAATTACTCTCTTAAAACCGTAGAGAGCTACCACGCCTTGGTACTGGGTTAACTACCCTAGTTTGAGCGTAGTAGTTTCTATAATGGGAAGCTGTAAAGAGGGTATCTTTTACTTCTTTGTGAATAGCACAACGTCTATTTTGTATGGATTCATTCACAGACCTCTTTATTTGGTCCAACTTTTGACCAATCTTTTTTGACAGTGTTTGAAGAAATTTGCCACTAACCACCACTGTAAGATCAGCATTCGCTCCTTCTTTCCTGCAGCAGACCATTGATCGCCACTACCCATAGCATATCTGTTCAGCGTTGTTCCCTACAATTCAATTACGCATGCTGAGATTTTCTAAACTCATTGGCAATTGATTTCCCGATATAAGATTCAATCAGCAGCTCTAAATCCTTCAACTGAAAAGATTACAGACTTATAGGCCTAAAGCTTTTGGGGATGGTATGAGAGAAGCGACTACCCTCGATTTTTTCAACATCTTTGGGATGTGACTGGGTGTAAATACGCCCTTACAAATGGCATAAAAACCATGTAACACTTAAATGAAACTCTGACCGGACCCGGGGTTTTTGTACAATTTAAAGAACTCTATAGCCCAAACTAATCTCTCCTTGACGAGAAGATCAGCTGTTACCGGATGATCTCTTTCTAGAAGTGGAATATCGGCAGCGCCTGGGAAATATATATATATATATATATATGTAGTATATATATATATACTATACGGGTCTACAGACACAGATTCCATCGGGCCAGAGAAGCACCTGGTCTATGGTGAATTTTCCAGGTCTTAAGCTAGACGGATAATACCTAAATAGTAATAATACTAATAATTAAGTATTTTACGTTATCGACATATAAACGATTAGATTGTATAAAAAAATGTATTTATTTTTATTTTTAAATAAATACATAAATGTAAGAAATTCAATAAATTAAAATCAATAAATAATTAAATAAATAAATAAACGATTTTGCTAAAACACTACAAAGATCAAAATTTCATAATAATAACAGCATTCCTTTGCAAGGACAGCAGATTGATATTTGCAATTACATACATACATCGGATAGCATATGTTACTAATTAAGTAATAAATACAATAAACTATGTACACGTACATCCATATATCTATATTGTCTATGCATACATATGTACATACATATATGTATATGTTCATAAGTAACCACTTAAATGCGTAATTAATTGAAATCGAGCACCGGTCAACCGTTACCATTACCACATAGTCAACGCATCACACCCTGAGCAGCACTGCGACTCAACTATGCAACATGATTAAGCACGTCTGGTATTAATTGGTCCTCCTCATCCTCGTCATCTTCATCATCCTCGTCGTCATCCTCGTCATCGTCATCATCATCGTCGCCCTCTTCGTCGTCATCGCCCTCCTCATATTCATCACCGTTGCCATCCTCATCGGCTGCATTATTACCGGAAGGAGCTGCTAGATTTGAATTGACTTTATGAATGAGTTTATTTTGAATGGCTGGCTCGAGAAAGTGCAACGGTATTGGTATGGGACTTGAAATGGCCACTGGTGTGGCTGGGGAGGAGGAGGAGATGCTGGCGTGCGGATGACCATAGAGTAAATATGTGTCTTTTGTGTTGCTACTCTCGTCTGCCTCTCGGCTGGGCACCGACGTGGCATGCGACTTTAAAGCAACTCCGGTTGTATTAATTAAATGTAAATGAGTGCTAGCCGTTATTGTTTTTGTTGCTGTCGTTGGTGCTGCATTCGCGTCAGACGCATTTCCCGTCAATGGCAAGTGTGCTGGGTCAGCTTGTGCCGCAGTTGCTGGTGACATGTTTTTATTAGAAACGTTGGCCAATGAGGATTTAGTGTGATTTAAAATCGCCAACTTATTAACGGTGGCCTGAGTTGAAGCCACTTCTCTATTGAATTGTGTCTGAACTGGTGTTGAGTTTGTTGATGGCGCATTGGCAGCTGCAGCATTCCTATCATTCGTCGAGGGAGTTGCTGTTGCATTTTTTATTTTCGTTGCAGTTATTGTCTCATTATTTTCCTGCTCCACTAAATTCCCCAGCTGATAATCACTGCTGGCATCAAAATCGTCAACATCGCCATCATCCTCATCGTCATTGTCATCGTCATCGCCATCGTCATTGTCATTATTTTGCGTTTCATCGTCCCAACTGGGCATTGGTGGCGGTGTGATGCGCGGCGCTGCCGTTGAGGTCAACATGAACTCATCCAAAATCTCGCAATTTTTACCCAAATATCCTTGTTTGCATTCGCAGCGATAACTGCCATCATTCTTGGTGAATGATATGCAATGTCCGCCATTCGCGCACGTATCCGGATGTTCATCGCAGTACGTCAGCTCTGTGAAGGCGTTTAAAAGTATGAAAAATATATGCAAATAAAAAGTAGATATTTTCATGTTTTCGCCAGTGTGTAGAGTAAATTGTAGTTGCTCCTTTAACACTTCTACGTCTACTCACGTTCATCGCACAGCATTCCACCCCAGCCTGGTTTACAATTACATTCCCACGGCCGTTCACAATCGCCATTCACACAACCTGGATAGGGGAAGCATTGGTCACAATTCGCGCCTGTCCAACCGACTCTGCAGCTGCAAAACAAAAATAAAAGAAACAACAAGCAGCGTATGTATAAATTCTGGCAGTAAGAGCGGTGATATAACAGCAATTCAATTTGTTTTGTTTTTGAAGCCATTTTCGACACAGCAAACTCACCGACATTCTCCCGGTTTGGCACAGTAGCCACGCTGTTTGTGACAGCCCGTTGCACAAATAGCTAAACAAGTGTAATGAAAACAATCAAAAAACAATGAAATGAACAAAAACAATAACACCAAGAAACCAACAAACTCACATACACACGCCCATAAACAGAGAAACGTAAGCTTGGCCGACAGTGTTGTCTCGCAAAATTTTGCGTATCCGGAAAGGAATAGGAAACTACTACCATTTTCGTACGTTTACTCATTAAATAACGCTAAAAAACAATGCCGTTTTCGTATACGGAAACGAATGGAAAACGATTTAAAATTTCGTTCGTCCGAAAAGCGATCTAAAAACATCGTGCTATATAGGAGCGATAATTTTTTTTAACGTGAAAAATTTTTGAGATACAATTTTTTATTAGTCGATTTATGGTTTTTACAAATGGTATGTGCGAAGTGCCAGCCATATAGCTCAATATTTATGGAAAATAGGCGATATTATTGACGAAGATGTATTTCAGGTGCGCGATCTCTAAACGATCACTGATTTCTCTCAAATTTTCACTAACATGGTTTTTCTTAATGCTTTCAAATATTATGACGCATCGCTCATAAACATTAAAAAAAATGACAGCATGCAAAATATCTGTCGCAGCTGTTTTGTAATTTTTGAAAGTTTATGTTTTTTTTTTTTTCATTTTAATAATTTTAATTCTTCTTACCAAAACGAACGAATCTAGGTTAATAAAACAAGCGTGTCACCAAATGAAAAAAATTACATTCATGACTATGATTTGAGAAACTGAAATTCCATTTCTACAATTTTTATTGGCATACTCAAAATGCATTCTAAAATTGTTTATATAAGTGAAGAAAATAATATATATATACATACATACATATGTGCATAAGGAATACTATGTAAAAATCTCCCACTCCGATATTTAATTACGTTTACAAAATATGCCTTTTAAGTTACGGGGCGTATACGTTACATACGCAGTGTATCTTTTTTAAGTTTTCATTTAAATACAATTTCGCGCTGAAATCTTGTTCTTTATACAAAACTGAAGATTTGCGACCAAAAACAAGTTTGAATAATTGGTCGATGGTGTTCGCCCAGCATGAATTTAGGCGCAATTTCCTCGACCTCTTCCGACACCAACTGG